TGAGCCAATCCAAATTCAGAAATAAGCCTCCTGTACTCCATCCATGAGCCTGCAGTCGCCCTCCTTCACAAGCCAAGGTGAGAAACCTGCATCTGTCAGATGCTGTCGTTGAATGACATCTCCCATCACCCTGGACCACTGGCCAAGTTGCTGGGTCTACGTTGCTGGGAGTCGATGACAGCAGGAGGGTGACAAGTTCCTCCACCTCTGCTTTAAACCTCCTCTCCATCTTCACTCCCTGATACAACTGCTGCTGGGAGTCTGGTGGCAGTAAGCAGGAGGGAGGCAGGTCTCTCAATCGTCTCTGACATGCTGCTGCTACAGCGCATCTCAGCATAATATGGGAGATAGCGCAAAAAGTCCCAATAGTGTAATGGAACTAGTGTGATTTTCCTCCTACTGCATGCCCCGCTATTGGCTCTGGGATGTCAGGAGAATCCCAGAACAGTGCACAGGGAGAGGAAAGGGGAAATCGTTCCATGTGGCAAGCAGAAATTGCTTGCGCTTACAGAACCATCATGGGAGCACAAGATTGAATTCCTCTCATTGTCTTAGGAGGGACATGGGTGGTGCTGTGGGTTAAACTACAGAGCCTAGGGCTTGCCGATCAGAAGGTCAGTGGTTTGAATCCCCGCGATAGGGTGAGCTCCTGTTGCTCGGTCCCTGCTCCTGCCAACCTAGCAGTTCGAAAGCACGTAAAGTGCAAGTAGATAAATAGGTACCGCTCCGGTAGGAAGGTAAACAGCATTTCCATGCGCTGCTCTGGTTTGCCAGAAGCGGCTTAGTCATGCCGGCCACATGACCCAGAAGCTCCCTCGGCCAATAAAGCGAGATGAGCACTGCAACCCCAGAGTCGTCCGCGACTGGACCTAATGGTCAGGGGTCCCTTTACCTTTACCTTTACCTTTTTACCCATTGTCTTTAAGTTACGAGAGAAGACATTAAGGCCCCATCTGTACTATGCATTTAAATAAGTGTCATAGCACCTTAAACAGTCATGGCTTTCCCCCAAAAAATCCTGTGAACTCGTAGGGTTGTCTTATTTTGAAGAGCAGAAAAGAGCACACATTTGCTAACTTCTACTTTTAACTATGGATCTATGTGACAGCTCTCATTTTTGAAAAAAAGAGGATGTGTCTTGGAAAAGGAGGGCATATGGCAATGCTACAAGTTGATAGGACATCCCATTCCTCTCAGAGATCTATAATTCCCAGAATAGTTAACAATCAAACCCTCTTCCCAAGGAACTCTGGGAAATGTTGCTACAGGGGAGAATCATGCATGCAAACGGTCCCTATTTTCATTGGAGAAATGTTGGAGGGTATGCTATTGTAGAAAATGCTGCAGTGTCCTGATAGCATTTTTAGATACAGAGCGCAGGAGCAAGCCAGAGATAGTAAAAAGGTTTAGAGTGTTATGGCATTTCTTTATTATAGCCTGCGTCAAACATTTGATATTACGTTTCTGTTTCTTTAAATGCATGAAAATTAGGAAGGAAACTGGGGGATGCCGTGAAAGAAACTGAGCTACCTTGGGAAATGGTATGTAATGAAATGAAAAGGATGTTTAAAATAACCTTTGTTAAAAAACAAAACAAAACAAAAAACCAGAAGCTTTTCTTTTGGGAATTATAGGAACAGAACTACCTAAACTGTATAGAAATTTATTCATGTATGCTACTACAACGGCAATAATGTTACTTGCCCCAAAATGGAAAGAAGCAGAAGTCCCAGCAAAGGAAGAATGGATACAAAAACATATGGAATATGCAGAAATGGAGAAATTTACCGAAAGAATAAGAAATAAAGATAACATTTTTTGAAATAAAAGAATGGAAATGGTTTATTGAATATTTACAGATAAATTGTAAACAGATAAAAACATTGGCAGGATTGTTGTAATAACCTGCAGTTTCATAAGAGTATATGTTTAAGGAAGATGAATAAATGAGAAAATTAAGTTAATTTGGATATGCAGAAGATACACAAAAAATTAAGGAACCGCAGAAAGAGGGGGAAGGGAGTCAAGTTTTGAAATGTCAAAATGATTGTAAAATTAGTGAAATGTATAAACTTGAAAAGTATAAATAAATAAAAAAGGAAAGAAACTGAGCTTTCAAACTACCAAAATTCTGCCCACCCACTCCTTTTTCCACACCAATAACATGTTGGCAAAGCTTCTCCGCTCCTCTGCCTTGTGACAGTTAGCAACCGATCCACATTTCCTGGGATAATAATAATAATAATATCAACAACAATAATAATAATATCATCCACTCGTTTTTTTTTTAAAAAAAACAACAACCCCACATGGTTTAAAGCTGCCCACCCTTATCATATAACAACAATTTTAATTAATTCCTAAGAGTTAAGAAGAACAACAGGGGGAAGGGGTAGGGGGAAAAGAAAAAGAGGAATGAAGATTTTTGTTTCTTAGGAATGCTAAGCCGTATAAAAGCTCTAGGCTTTGTTTTTTTGGCCTGTCATTCTAAAGGAGGTGAGGATGGATTATAATTGCACTGTGGGGCCTGAACAGAGAACCCCTGTAGGTAGAGCAGGCCTTTCAATCTTCTGATCAACGGAGCTGAAACAAAAATGCAGGAGGACTGTGTGTTCCCACGTTCTTTGACAGTTTCCTGCTGCAGATAGTGTCCTTTAAAGCCCCCCCAGCCCTCCTTATGCTTTCATTATGCTGGCGAAATAATGAATAATTTGCCTCCTCCGCTCTTTGATATGCATGGTCAGATATTACTGGGTAAGTAGCAAGTGGGACCTTCTTATAACCTTAATCCAGTTCGCACTAATAAAATAATTTAGCTGAGAATTCTTGGGAAGCAATTATATCCCCCCTCCTCCCCAATGTCACGATTAAAGAAAAGCCCTAATGGACAGAGGCAGGCAGGTCATCTTAATTTTCCTTCGGCTACAACCAAAACAATATGTGAACTTTTAAAAGGGGGGCAAGAGCTGCCTTTCTTTCCGTTTTGCTACAAACGCTCTCAATCGGGGTTTTTTTGTGCAGAATGAATTTGGCATTGCTTTGGCTTATTCAAGTGTATGTGTATGTCTATATATGAATATATTTCTAATATGCATTAGAAAAGATTCGTCTAAGTGTGCCCTTTACCACTGATAATCACTAGGACTGATAGTACCCAATGAATTCTACATTACCCTCTCATTACAAAGGTGAATGGAATTTTATTGTTATCGTTTTGCATCGTCAAATTATTAGTAAGTATGTGTTTTTAAATGAAAGAATTAGTGGATCTTATGTGCTGAACTGAAAAATAATAACATTACAAAGTTAAAACACCATTTGAAATTCACAATATCCACGAAAAATCTCTTTTAGGGGAGAATTGGTAAAGGTTATTAAACCCTGAAACAACTAACATTGGTTTATTAATGGACTACAAAGTTTCTTTGTAAACAGTCATATGAATGTTGCAAATTACAGTGCAGTACCATGCCTACTCAGAAGTAAGTTGTATTGAGGTCAATGGGGCTTACTCCCCAGGCAGTGGTTAGGATTGCAGCCAGGAAGAGCAATCCTAAACATAAAAAATCAGTGGAATTTACACTGGCTTAATTTAAGATGGCATGGCTTACCCCTGTTCCAAAAGCCTGGCAGAAAGAAAAGTCGTTCAAACAAGTCGTTTGATTTATGCCACCCTTTTTGCTGACGTATTTTCCTATGGGTTGCCAGGTCACATGACAGAACAGAATGGACTTTGGATACAGTATAAGTCCCTTCCTGCCTAGTCGCTTCCCCTCCTATGGAACATCCATTTTTCAGGACTTAGACCAGGCAGGGGCAAACTCGGCCCTCCAGATGTTTTGAGACTACAATTCCCATCATCCCTGACTACTGGTCCTGTTTAGCTAGAGATGATGGGAGTTGCAGTCCCAAAACATCTGGAGGGCCGAGTTTGCCTATGCCTGACTTAGACATTCTGGGATCCAGTCAGAAACTGGGACAGCTTCTGTAAATCTGGGATTTTTCTAGAAAATAGGGAAACTGAAACTGCACACATTCTCGTTGTGGGGTGCTTCTTTCACCCACACAAGTGTGAACCAGCCCACTAGAGGCACAATCCTTCTTACAGCGGAAGCTCAGCCTGTCAAGCTCAAGCTGCCAAGGCAGGGTCTTGTCATCACTGCTTAATTTTTACAATGAGAAGCACCGTGTTCAGACCTGCCTGGAAGTCATAACCTTTGACTCGGAAAGTCTTTGCCTAATCCTCAGTGGGCAAGCCTGATCGTGGATGTCAGTGGCGAAGGAAAGGCTTTCTGCTCAATGTACCTGAAGACATATTTCAAGGATGAGTCCTTCCGCCAGAAGGATTCCAAGTACTGGTGAAACCAAGGCTCAAATTATTATTCGGACACTTCCTGTAAAGCAGGAATGAGGAATCTGGGACCGTCTAGGTCTTGTTGGGCTCCCACCAGCTCCAGTTAGGGATGGCTAGAGTTGTAGGTTTCTATTCTCTGCCTCAGGGCATACATGGTATTCTCCTTTAATCTATTTTTAAAACATTTTATTATTAAATTTATATTCCGCCCTATACCCGCTGGTCTCAGGGAAGTCACAACATAAAATCACAATATAAAAACACAAAATACCTAATAAAAATAAAAACAACCCAAGAAACCTCCTCCTCCCCAACACATTTTAAAAGGGCATTGGATGTCAATCAGCCAAAGGACTGGCTAAAGAGGAACGCATTTGCCTGGCACCTAAAGGTGTATAATGAAGGTGCCAGTTGAACCTCCCTGGGGAGAGCATTCCACAAACAGGGAGCTACTGCAGAAAATTAATCTGCTCAATCAACCCCATGAGGTTGCTTAGCTACTCAATAAGTTTTGTAGTTGTGTGAGGATTTGAACTCAAGTCTTCCCCTCTTTAAGTCTGATATCCTAACCACAATACCACTCAGCCCCAGTGCTTTCTATGCTTGACTTGCTAACTCCTGATGCGAACAATAGATCAGCATTTGTGTTTCATGTAGCTCAGTTGGTTGGAGCGTTGTGCTGATGACTCCAAGGTTGCAGGTTCGATCCCCGTATGGGACAGCTGCATTGCAGAGGGTTGGACTAGATGGTTCACAAGGCCCCTTCCAACTCTCCAATTCTATGTGTAGCAAGCAGCTTAGAAGGTGAAGCCGAGAAAGTTTTCCCCACCCCCCTCAGCTAAAAAGGCAGGTAAGAACAGTGGTGGAGTGATTAGGGCTGATATATAGGGTTGCTTTTGCAAGGCTTTTTTTTGCAAGCGGGGAAGGAGAAGAGAAAAGCTCCTAGCTGCAAATCATTGACAAAGAGGTATGTAACAGAAATAGAGCTTGCATTGGGACTCTGGAATTCAGTTTGCGATGTTATCTCCAAAGTGCAGGAGTCATAGCAAGAGGAAGACACTCGACAATCGCTCTGTGATGTTCCTGGAGAACAAGGGTCCTCTTAGTGTACGACAGAAGGAAAGAGGATATCTGTGGACACTGAAGCAAGAGTGGTAAAGGAATGCAACCATTGCTTCTTTCACATAGTGGTGAAAAGCCCTGGCAATTGATGGGGGGCGGGGGAAGGAATCAATGGGAAAAGGACAACATGAAACAACCAGCCCAACAGTATGAGGTGAGTCAAGGTGGGGCAAGATTCTTCATCAATTTTTAAGATAAGTTCAGGCTTTATTCAAGACCCATGCAGCAAACTTTTTTATAAGAAAACGAAAATGCACAGCTATTGCTTGCTTGAGGTTCCTTATTGTCATCTGAGTTCCGTCCATGTTTTAGGGTCCTTATTTAACGTTACGGCCAAAGCTGATGTCCGAACGTCCTGCACCAGCTACAGCTGGCAAGAGACGAGAAAGAAAATTTGGGATGAATGCTGCTCCTGTGGGATTTGAATTTGAATCCTTGCAACTCACTCTTCGCTCCATTGAGTCTTTGTATGTTCTCCAGGATTTCCGATGCTAAAAAGCGGCAGTAGATCTAATACAAGGAGAAGCATTTGAGGCATGTACACATTGCACAATAATGTATATTTGGTGCTGGATGCAAGCATCTTTTTCGGGTACTGTACACAATAGACCCCAAGCACTACCTTCTGGACTGGAGCCCCCACAGAACCATATCTGCTGGCCCCACTTCTTCTAGATGGCCCAGAAGGTTTCTATTGATGGTGTCTAAAGCTGCCTAGAGGTCGAGGTGAACCAACAGGTAGAACTTCTGTCCATTCCCTGGTACAAATTATCCACCAAGGTGACCAAGGCTGTCTTTGTCCCAAAAATTAGGTCCAAATTATCAGCACCATCCAATTTTATAAATGTATGCTGTGCTATCATGTTCTTGGGCATAACATGATTGCACAACATGAATGGCGCTGAAGAGTTCCTATACATTTATTTTACAAATGTATATCCAGCCCTTCGAGCTTTCCAGGGCAACTTACAACAAGACAACAGAAATAAAATAGCAGGATAAAAAGGAAGAGCATTGAAACCATTTCATCAGAAATTAAAAAGAGAGAAAGAAATTTGGTTCACATGGTAACTAAAGGAAAATTTAGCTATAGTAAAACTAACAAACCGTGGCGCAGGGATACTTCATTTAGCATGTGGTGATACTGATGTTATCGTTCTTCTATTAGCACATTTCCCTGATATCAACCAAATGCTCATCTTGGACAATGTAATGGAAAAACCAGGAAACTTATTAATCTGACCGGTATGACCTTACCAGATGCGATCAAGAAAGCATTGTTGGAAGCACATGCCTTTCCTGGAACTGATTACGTCTCTTCTTTCTTTGAAAGAAAAAAGAGAAAGAAAGGGGAGAACTGTGCTATAATTTAATAAACAAATATAGGTAATTGCAAGGCATCTTCATTTGATTAGGATCTATCTTGGGAGATAAAAGTTATAGTTCACAAAGCTTTGTCTGCTCAGCGTATGTGCAAAAGAACATCACAAGCATGAAGACAGTCCTGAGACCATTTTTGGCAACATGTTGGTGTGCAAATGAATAATGGAGTTGTCTGTTTTCTCCCACTGTGTAAGAAAAGTCTAACATGGTAAATTTGTTGGTCCAGATATGTATGCGGGTTTTGATGTCTTTCCAGAACAGCAAAAAAAAAAAAAAAAGCCGTGATAGTATTATTATTATTATTATTATTATTATTATTATTACTACCCAACCCATTTGGATGTATTTCCCCACTCACTCTGGAAGGCTTCCAGCACATATAAAAACATAATAAAATGTCAAACATTAAAAACTTCCCAGTACAGGGCTGCCTTTAGACGCCATCTAAACGTTGTTTATCTCCTTGACATCTGATGGGAGGGCTTTCCACAGGGCGGGCGCCACAGCCAAGAAGGCCTTCTGTCTGGTTCCTTGTAACTTCACTTCTCGCTATGAGGGAACTGCCAGAAGGCCCTCAGAGCTGGACCTCAGTGTCTGGACTGAATGATGGGGGTGGAGACACTCCTTGAGGTATACTGGGTTGAGGCTGTTTAGGGCTTTAAAGATCATGGATGGATCGAGGACACGTTCTGGCTGGGCTAGAGTAGAATTTGATGTCTCCACTTGGTAAGTCCTGAATACTGGTTGGACTGCTTTCATGTCTGCAGAAGGGCCGCTGGCTAAAAGGACAGCTTGTACAAAACACCTCATCCACAAGGTAGCAACTCGCTACATGCATGGGATTAATTGTTGTAGAGCAAGTATTGCTGTTTCCAACAAAAGGCAGCCTTAGCTGATGGAGAGCATCAACATTCAGAACCCAAAAACCTATCAAATGAGATGAGCCATGGACACTTAAGCTACATCACTTTAGCTTTTCACCTTTCCCAATAGCCCCAAACCAACTGATAACTTAATACCATTTTGTTTCATGTGATTCATAGCTGTGACATCTTTACCGTTATCTAAAGATGTCATCCAAGGAGTAGTGAGACTGTATGCAGAACCAAGACTACTGTCTGGAGAATACAGTGGTCCTTGACAATGCACAAATTGGCCACCTCATTTTTAAAATGTGCCAGCACATCACATTTGTGTTTTGCAAATGGAGTTCAAACCACTAGCTGCCCATCACCGTTAGTGGTCCCTGCCCTTATTCCAAAAGCAGGCCCTCCATTTGAGGTACACAGTTGCTGAACCAGTTTCTCCTCCTTTTTGTGTCTAAGTGGTCCCATATTCATCTTTACAGCAGCGTGAGTTGTCCAATCAGGGTTTCCGAAAAGTTTCTCCCCCCCACCCTTCCCCCCTGCATTTTTGAAAGGAGTCTGCATCCATTTCTTCATAGGGGGGGGGGGAGTTTTTCCTCAAGCCTTCCAGAGAGTAGCAGAGGGTTAAACAGGCCTAAAAAAATATTGGCACGAAGGAAGAATTCTCCAATATGCTATGAGAAGAGACAGTACACGAAAAAAAGGTGGCATGGGGTCAGGAGGGGAACACACTGGATAAAATACTTTCATCTATTGTATGGGGGTCAATGGGCTCCCATTGGGAAATCCTGAGCCCAAGATTAATTACTTCTTTCAGTCGGTTGTCCATTGTGCTTCTCGGGGAGGCTGCCATGACTTTAGGTATCTTGCAGATTTCTGGCTCACACACTATGATCCCAATGGGGCTAAGAAAGTTGTGGCAGGTGTCTTTTAAATCTCTTCTCACCGAAGGGCTTTCCGAGGGCACCTCCAGCCTGCGACACTATCACGAGAAACCATTTTATTCCATATTGTGGGGGGAATTTCATAGCAATTCAGAGTTACGCGTCATGGTTATTACAGTGGTACCTCGGGTTAAGTACTTAATTCGTTCCGGAGGTCCGTTCTTAACCTGAAACTGTTTTTAACCTGAAGCACCACTTTAGCTAATGGGGCCTCCCACTGCCACTGCGCCCCCAGAGCACGATTTCTGTTCTCATCCTGAAGCAAAGTTCTTAACCTGAAGCACTATTTCTGGGTTAGCGGAGTATGTAACCTGAAGCGTATGTAACCCGAGGTACCACTGTATGATGCTTTGGGGGGGGGTGGTCTTGAGCTACAGGATGGGCAGTTTCAAAAGTCTATACAAGGGCTTGCACACCATTGTTTGGGGTTCCTCTCCTCCCTCCCTGCATGGGGTGCGTGGGGGACCCTGCTGCAACAGTGTAATAAAGATCAGATATATTAAGCTGCTTTGTTTCTCAATATTCTCTGGTTGGCCCCTGTTATTTTCTCCTTCCAATAGGGAACCTACTTAAGGACTCTATACGGCCTCTTGGATGCCCTATAAGGGAAAAGGAGCAGTTTTTTCTCTTATAACAATAGGTACTATTTCTGGGTTAGCGGAGTCTGTAACCTGAAGCGTATGTAACCTGTAGCGTATGTAACCCAAGGTAGCACTGTACTGAGATTCCCATCATAGTTTATATGGTAGTGAACTCACTTAAAAAACAAAACGAAAGGCTTTGTTCAATGTACTGTCAGTTCTTACTAATGTTTATTTGTTGCGCACACACACACGTGCGCGTGCGCACACACATACAGACACATGTTCAGCCTAACAGAACTGTATGATTCTCTCTGTGTGCCCAGGGGGACTTTTGACTTGTGTTTCTAGAACAACAGCTCTCTAGGCCACAGAACAAACCAGTTTTGAGACTTGAGTTTCAGCAGTAGTTTGCAATATGGCATCAGCGTCTGCTGCTCAAAGGTCACTGGGGAATGTTAAAAATGTCACTGGCTGTGACCAAGTGGATCGCTCATCAGATCCCAGCACATATCTTTGGCCTGTTCAGTTAAATACCATTGTTGTCACTTTCACATCCATACTCCAGTAAAGTGATTTGGGAGTAAGACTGATGCAATTTTCCCTGTTGCTCTCCCTCCCTTCCCCCCTTAAAGATTTTATTTCTACTTTTTTCCACAAATAAAATACAATTATTCAAACATTTTCCAGTATACATTCACTTAAAAAGTTGACTTCCTCCCACCCTTTCATGGTTTTCCCATGATTATCTTTTGCTACTGCGTATTGTAATCTTTTCTTTCTCAACTTTATTCTCAAAATAACTTTTACTGCTGAACTTACTCCTAAATTGCTAGCATTTAATATGTTTACTATAGATAGATAGATAGATAGATGATAGATAGATAGATAGATAGTCTACAAAAAATAAATAAATCCAATCCTCCTTTGAAGGTTGTTTATTTTCATTTTGCTCTCTGATTTTACTAGTTAAACTTTCTAATTCTGTATATTCCATCAATTTCAACTGCCAGTTGTAGATTGTTCTCCAAGGCCCATCAAAGTTTTTGTCATATTTAGATGATACACTGGCCTGTCACATGCTGATCTGAGCTCTGGAATCTGATGTCAGCTATGTGTCCCTGTACATGAAAGGTATTCTTAATTGCAGCATATTGGAGTTATTTTGCTTTTCTTCACCTTTGTATATTGCCCTGGTAACTCTGTACAAGATGGATGCAACTTGGACTGGACCAGCTACCTTCTAACAGCACAGAAGCCAGCTCTAACCACAATGGCTTTGTAGATGAAGGACAGCCTAGAAGAATCTTTAGGGATGTGGGTGGTGCTGTGGTCTAAACCACTGAGCCTCTTGGGCTTGCTGATCGGAAGGTCAGCGGTTCGAATCCCCGCGACGGTGTGAGCTCCCGTTGCTCTGTCCCAGCTTCTGCCAACCTAGCAGTTCGAAAGCACACCAGCAGGGAAAGTGTGCTTAAAAATGAATACATTGGTGAAAAATAACAAATACAACAATGCATTATGTTTGAGGAATTGGCTTGCAAAAATGCATGCAGTATAATAAAAATCTGTTTACTTTGAGGAACTCACACTAAATGCGGACGGATATTCATGAGGCTTTAAAAAAATAAATGCATTTCAATTTCATGGAAAATATGGAGAACTGAATTTGGATTGGAAAAACAGAGAGAGCCGAAATGAACAATCCTTCCATGCCTACACCTCAAAGAACGCTTCTTGCAATCTGCCACACGGATTTATGGATGGGAAGTGTGTAGGTAGACATTTTAAAAACTTTAGGAGGTGTTTTTTTTTAAAAAAAGTAACCCCCCTTCCACAAGGGCAGAGAGAAATCAGACTCCAATTGTCTACACACATTTTAAAAGGCGCAGGTCCAGAGCAATCCTTTTAGAGGAGTTTATTTGAAACCCTGATTTGATAACATATTTCGCTTAGTTACAAGCTGTTATTTAGCATCTGGTGTGCGAAAAGGCCAACGCAGTCCAAGTTGTTCTTTGTGATCAAAAGGTGTTTTAGGCACAAGAAAGATTGGTTTTAGCTCATTTTTGGTTGCATCAAGAATGATACATGTTGGCCAGAAGTGAGCAAATAATTAGCAGCAAATAATTTATTCAACAAAATGAGATTTGTTTTTAGGAAGTTGGAAAGCAGTTTACACATTTCCATGTATTTTTAGCATGTTCGGTGAGGATATTGTCTTGCCTTTGGATAGCATTAGCAGCAGTAGAAACAGAAGTAGCCCTGGTAATCAAGAGTACAATGGCTTCCTCTTGTCTTGACTATATTATAAGCCATATAGGGGAGGTTGGGTTATAAGAGAGGGCACTTTTCTGGGCTCACACCTCCTTCCTTTTGGTCTGGAGATGGGGCAACACATTGACCTAATGATCAAAGATCTTCCACACCTTCCTAACAAACCAAGCGATTGACTCAAGGCCATATCAAACCTCTCAACTTTTCTCCGATGAAAACAGAGACATCCTATTTTATAATTTATACCCTGCCTATCTGATTGGGTTGCCCCAGCCACTCTGGGCTGCTTCCATATAAAAACATAATAAAACATTTAACCTTTTTTTTAAAAAAAAGCTTCCCTGTACAGAGATGCCTTCAGATGTCTTCTAAATGTTGTCTAGTTACTCATCAACTTGGCTCGGGGGGTTGCAGAACTCCATACCCCCCAACATTTCTCTGATGGAAATAGGGACATCTTAAGGAAAAGCGGGACTTTCCGAGATGAAATCAGAAACCGGGACGGCTTCTGTAAATCTGGGGCTGTCCCTGGAAAATAGGGGCGCTTGGAGGGTCTGCTACCATGTGCCCTCAGCTCATACCCTGGGACTGTACAGGGCCTGCTTGCAAACTTCTGGCACTCTCTACAAAGCAGAAAGACACCTGTTGTCTCTGCCTCCTTGCAAAGTCTCCACAGTAACGTCTCCAGCTCACTCCTCCGAGCTTCTTCAGTTCTGCGACTTGTAACAAGAATTCACATAAAACATTTGTTGCTAGATTCTGACCAGCTGTGCTTTCCTTTGATATTTTGCCACATTTCTGTCCATGGCCTGTGCTGTATTACTTTTATGATGCCTTCCAGAAAAGCCGAGTGAGACACAACCTTACGATGATGCAGTGTTTGTTTTTCTGCTTGACAGACTTCAAAGTGTCAGTCATGCTCATCCCAGATTTTTCATCTGTGCAGCGTGAGCAGTCATTAGATTTGACTAGGAAGTATGAAAATGAGGCACACAGGAATTTTCTCCTCTGATGGAAATCCTTTTAAACATCTAGGCATTTTATTTCTTTGGGTAGATGTGACAAAAATCACAACTTCAGTTTTACCTAGACTCCATCCAGACATCCTTTTTACTGCACCATTCATGATGGCTATTATGTATCACAATTTTATTATTACTTATTAAATCTGTATACCACCATATACTGTACATCTCAGGGCAGTTCACAACATAAAATTACAATATGAAAACAAATAAATATGAAAATATAAACAAACAAACAAACAAACAACAACAAACCAATAATCCTTCCCCCTTGCTCAACACATTTAAAAGGCACCAGGTGTCTATCAGCCAAAGGAACATTTTTGCCTGGTGCCTAAAGGTGTATAATGAAGGCACCAGGTGAATCTCTTTGGGGAGAGCATTCCACAAATGGGGAGCCACTGCAGAAAAGGCCCCTTCTCGTGTTGCCACCCTCCAGACTTCTTGTGGAGGAGGCAAACGAAAAAGTGCCTCAGAGGATTATCTCAGGGTCTGGGTAGTTTCATGTGCATAGAGGCAGTCCTTTAGGTATTGTGGTCCTGAGCCATTTATTATTTCTGCTCTTGATGCTGTTGGGCAGAGGTGCTATGTCCCTCGGCCCCTGGTTATCCCAGCACCTGCAAAAGTCCCTGTGAAGGGGCCGGGCACCCACAAATTTTGGCGTTGGGGGCATGTGTGCCTGACATCACCATGCCATGGGAGTGGGCATCTGACATCAGCATGCCTGGGGCCAAGTTGGCAGCCCTGCTATCGGGGCAATCACCTGCAATTCTGTTTTCATATGATTTGTGGCCACATGACTTCACTTCCAATCAGTGCATAATCTGTAACTTCCTGCTGAAATCCTGCAACTTTTTCTTTCACAAATGCTTTGGTTTATTTTTGAGCCACTTTTGCAGTTCTGCAACTCCTCTGGACAGCAATAACGTGGTAGAACAACAGGGGAATCATCTCTGAACACCTAATAAAGCAGAATAAGCCCACCACTAATACACTGTTGTTGTGGTACTAGGTGTGGGCCCCCAGAAAATCCCAAAGAAGTCTGTTTAATCCACGTGGTTGTGGATTACATAACTGTCATGCAATTTCCTTGTTGAATGAAGAAGCTTGGATATAAAATTCCGTTATGCTAGATAATTTAGAAGGTGACTTCTGGCTAAGTGTAAAATCAAGCATTGGTCTACAGCCAATTGATAGCCTCCCACAACTAGATTTCTGTTTGATATAAGGTGCATTGAAATCAGCAGACCACAATTTCCTTTGGGAGACAGAGAAGAAGACTGAAGAAGAAAGAGAAGGGTTTTTTGTTTATATGCAGGATCTGGCCATTGAACATAGCTATCTCATTCTGCATTTAGGGGTCTGGATACATTGAAGGACACTGGTGTAAAGGTCTCGGTTCTTAAACTTACGTGCTCTTTGAGAAAGGTCAAATAAGGTTGCTTCAAATACTAGAATCATAAGAGTTGAGAGCTGGCAAATAGTTTGGTGGCAGGTTATTTTTCCAGAAAATGATAGTGATTCAGTTTAGGAAATACAAGATGTGCTTTATTTCTGAGCTTAACTGCTCTCTGCTCACAGATAACAATTTTAAATCATCGTAACACACCCTGGGACCTTAGGGTCGAGGGCAGGTAATAAATAAAAATAACAACAGCCACTATTAGTACTGCACGTATGTGTGTGCCTGCATGTGTACTTGTCCTAAGGCTTCCTGAACTCTTGGGTACCGCACAAAGCAAAGAGTCATACTCATTGCCCCACCCACTTTTGACTCCGCCTCCCCTCATCATTGGCATGCTCCTTCCTTTGCGGGAATCTTGCTAACAAAGGGATGTAATCTTGAGCAGAAAATGCTTCCCCACTGTAGCTCAGTGGCAGAGCATCTGACTTGCAGGCAGAAGTTCCTTGGTTCAATTCCTGGCATCTCCAGGTAGGGCTGGCAATATCCCCCTGCCTGAAACTCTGGAGAGCTGCTGCCCGTGGCTGTCAGGGTAGATGATGCAGAGCTAGAAGGACAAATGATCTGATTGAGTATAAGGCAGTGATCTAGATTTAGGGCAGCAGTTTTCAACCAGTGTGCCGTGGCACCCTAGGTACCTTAAATGATGGTCAGGGGTGCCATGGGCAACACTAGCCTCTGTCCCTCTTTCCTTCCCTCCCTCCTCTGATGCCCTCTTGCATCTCTGCCTCCCAAAGGCTTGCATGGCTGTTTGTCGCAGCAGCCTTGGCTACAAGCTCCAGGGGTGTCTTACCCATAGAGGCTAGTGGCGCAGGGCGCCAGGGAAGAGGTAGAGGCTGAATGTGGTGCCTCCCAGCATCAGCTCGCTGCCCTTGCCCGCCTCCGCCATGCTGCACTGAAGCAGCACCGCAACCGGAGACTCCGCCTGCCATGGCCACCACAGCACGAAGCGTCCAACTGAGCCGGGAGCCGCTGCGTCCAGCCTCCGCCTCTTCCCCACCGGAGGAAGCTGCCCTGCAAATCTGGGCACGTCGCCGACAGCTCCATCCTCCCTAGAAAAGGTCGGCAACTCTGGGAAAGTGGGAGGGGGGGCACCAGAGGGATCTTTGCACCACAATGCCAGATATGCTTAAGATGGCCCTGACAAGCTCCCCAGGTGAATGGTGCCTCTGGGGCTGGCCAGGGAGTGCTGGTTGCCAGGAGCTGAGGCGGCCTCAGAGTAAGCAAGCAAGTAAGCTGGCCCAGCCAGCCAGTCTGCCAGCCCTTGCTGTTGGGAATGGACAGATAACCCCAGGTCCCTGTGGGGCAGTGTGAGGAGGAACCTCTCTTTGGGGCAGCGGTGGTGGGGCTGGTCAGAGACCAGGGGCAGCAGCAGCAGCTGCCCAGCTCTCCCAAGGAGAGGAGGCTGAGGGAACACTCCACAAGGGAGGGAGTCTGAAAAGGGGTGAGAGGTTGCCAGCTTTGCATGCAAGAGGTGACATAACTGGGCTCCTGAGCCCCACGGGGTGCCACAGAAAGAATGTAGTTGGTCAAGGGAGCCGTGGACTCAAAAACAGTGAAAACCTCTGATTTAGGGTAAACCCTAAGGTAAAGGTAAAGGTACCCCTGCCCTGACTCTAGGGTTGTGCACCCATCTCACTTAAGAGGCCGGGGGCCAGCGCTGTCCGGAGACACTTCTGGGTCACGTGGCCAGCGTGACGAAGCTGCTCTCGCGAGCCAGCACCAGCGCAGCACACGGAAACGCCGTTTACCTTCCCGCTATAAAGCAGTACCTATTTATCTACTTGCACTTAAGAATGCTTTCGAACTGCTAGGTGGGCAGGAGCTGGGACTGAAAGACGGGAGCTCACCCCGCCGTGGGGATTCAAACCTCCGACCATACGATCGGCAAGTCCTAGGCACTGAGGTTTTACCCACAGTGCCACCCGCGTCCCTTAGGTAAGTTTCTAGGGTAAACCCTAGAAACTAATAAATGCTAGGCTTTTGGTTATTTGTGATATGAGAGGAGAATGTAAGCTGCAAAGGGCTTCCTAGGCTGGTTTATGCAAACCAGCCTGGCTGGCTTAGTGAAGAGCAAACCTAACTGACTAAAGATGTTGATGGACTGTTGAGGGGAGGAATCCTTTAACCTGGAGGTTAGATGTTACCAGTGTGATGGGGTGTATGTTTGAGGGGACAGCCAAAGGGAGTTTTCAAGCAAGGGTAGCTGGGAGGAAGAAGCAGGAAGAAGGAGCTGAGGTCCATCTTGGGGAGATGATAGGTTGCCTGCACTGCCTGTAGGCCATGCTGTATAATCGGGACTCCCTCCATCCAGACAGAAGGTGTAAACAGGTGAATAAACCCTATTTCTTAAAGCATGGCAGTCTTGCTGTGTCTTCTGTTCTCCAAAGGGATACAGACCCTGTTTGTGTGCCTGGGACCCCATGGGCTCTTGCCACCGCTTAGCAGAGAGAGGGGCAGGCACTGACAGATTATAAAGCTTCCTCACTCCCAGTTTTTAGGAAGTGAGTCTGGGATTCAAAGTCATTGTCTTTGTGGTCAGGTTGGGGTATATGCTTCAAGAACAATAAGGTAACCAGTCCTGAATTCTATACGATTTCTTTATCAGTGAATTCTTCGCAGTTGTATATACCGCAAACATGCACGCACACCTCATACGCTCATACTCAGAACCTTCCCACAAAACATATGTGAGTAAGGGGTTGGGAGGGGAGGAAACAGGTAATGAACTAACAGGATTAACCCAGGAATTAATGGGGCAAACCATACCAAAACATCCCAGGAGTTCATGCTTCCGATCTCTGCTGATGCTTAAAATTTTGGATGCGTTCCCAGTGCTCCCTGGCTCTTTTAACGTAGAACCTACAGCACATTTCTTATTCTATGCAGAAAACCGCTAAGGTTAGCAGAGGCCCAGGTGCAGCGAAAGCAAACGTGGGCAAAAATCCAGCAGTGCTTTCCAGCAGCGTTTTCTAGTCAAGCAACCAGATAAGAGAAACAAAAGAGGGTTACTGGTTTGGAAGTAGCACAACATTTTGGCCACATATAGCTGGTGTTCAGCACCTTGCAGCCTTCATTCCTTTAGCTCAGGGGTAGCCGTGCAGTTTTGGACTTTAATTCCCATCAACTCCAATTAACAACAACCCTAAAAAAATCTGGAAAAGACTATGAATCGAAAGTGGAGATGCTATATATACTTTCCCTTGCTTATTTTGTAACACAAGAAAATCTTCAATAAAAACTATTTTTTAAAAAACAACAACAACCAAACAAACTCCAGACAACATGGACAACGGTCAGGGATGATGGGAGTTGTAGTTGTAGATGATGGGCTTGTCTACCCCTGCCTTTTCTGAGATCTGAGAAGGAATACGAGGTCTCCAGAATAGGAGAGGATGCACTGCATTGCTGCCTATGAAATTGTGAGCCATTCATTCGGAAAGACAGAAGCGAGTCTTTGGTTTGGAAGTGCTGGAGATTTGATGGTTCCAGAGAGCAAGCCAAAGCCGTTTTCCAGACTGACATTTCCAATGCACACAGGAAATGGGGTCCTCTGTAATCCAGATGATTAAATCAGGAGTCGGTACTGGGGGGATAAAATAGTCCAAATTAATAAAGAAATAAAGCAAAAGTAAGCCCTTTCTTTTCTAAGCTAACTAGTGAGAGAAATTTCCCCAAGCAAACCACAGACACTATTCAGCAAAAGGTAAACACTCCTAACCCCCATTGAAATGCCAAGTCCCATTGATTTCACCTGGGAAGATGACGGGCAGGAAGGCAGATTACAAGGCACACGCCCACCTGCCAGTGATCCCTGCAAACAGCTTGCATTCTGCATTGCCATTAACAAACGTGTTTCGCTGCCATGATTTGTCGCTCCACCTTTAAGCATCACTCACTACCCCATCGAAATACATGGTGGTTTGAATTCCTTCCCTTTGCCGGATCATTCCTCATTGAAAAGCCACCTTTTGAAACATTTTGCATACTGATCATTTCCTCCCGCCACGCTGCTGTTGCCTTTTCAGCTCTGGGAGGATATATTTAACATGCTAGTAACGTTGCCGTTTCCCCCTATTTGTCACATCATCATCCAGGAGCTCAGGCTTGGGGTCCATATTAACGTGTCCTGCATGGTGACCAGTCAAAGAGGCATTTTGGCGGATCAAATTGATGCCACATTTCGGTTTTCCTGGTGCCGTTGGCTGACTCGTCAGCTGCCTTATTAACATACCATACCTTGCAACAGTGCTCTCTCTCAGCAAGATGCTGAACAGCTGGAAGTTTCTGTCATTTGCCAGAAGGGATAGAGGCTCCCACACAGAGAGCCGAATATAACAACAATCTTCAGAGCAGTCTTCAATTATTGGCAAGAATTTGCATTTTGGGGCAAAGGGACGTGGGTGGGGAAGAGGCGAGACTTGAGGGTGGGTGAAGGAGGGACATGAATTCCTTTCATCTCATATCAAAATCATCCGTCAGGATGCAGGGGAAGGAGACAGGAATGCCTATGCCAGTCTCTGACTTCTAGGCACTTGATTTAGAGAAAAGACCACACTCTTTGCATGTCCTTTCTGTAGCAATTCACGCTGTGCATCATTGCAGCTGACAGATTTACACAGGAAACCTGGCTCAGCAAGGCCTGCTGGAGTTGGTGGCAAACAAGGAATATGAGGGAATTAACTCCTGGCCTGCTGACAGTGGCTAAATCTGCCAAAAAAGCAGAGCTGGGTAATTTGGTTTCTTTTCTTTTGTTGATATCGTGCCAGCCCACAAGACTGGATTAAGTGGCTAAATTCTGCATGGAGAACTCTCACCCCTTTTCACTCAAATCCCATTGTCTTGATAAAAATGACAGTAGCTAGTCACGCCAGTCTTTAACATCTCGCTGGCGTTGCTCCAGAGAACATATCAGCTATGAGACTCTGAAAAGAAGGATTTGTTGATGAACGCAAGTTGAAAGGCAACTTAGGGTGTGTGTGTGTTTGAAATGATCGGTTGTGAAGAAAAAGTTATGCCTGCTATTAATTAAATACATAAAAGTGTCTTATGGTCATATATAACTGAGCAATCCATATTTCTTTCTTTCTTTTTTTGGTCACACATTTTCATATAAACGAAGCCATTTAGCTGTTAAGTGTTTGTTGCATTCAGTATCCAAAATATATGGCACTTTATTTAGTTCTCTATCTACCTTGGACAATGATACCTCAGCCAGTGACTTGTAGGGTTGCTAAATTAAAAAGTAAAAACCACCCTGAAAACCACCAAAATTGATGAGCTTTTTTTTTTTAAAAAAAGAAAACCCCCGAAATTGTTGAGGTTTTTAAGGTAAAGGTAAAGGTACCCCTGCCCGTACGGGCCAGTCGTGTCCGACTCTGGGGTTGCGCGCCCATCTCACTTAAGAGGCCGGGGGCCAGCGCTGTCCGGAGACACTTCCGGGTCACGTGGCCAGCGTGACGAAGCTGCT